GAATGCTCATGTGTGTGGTATTTAATCAGACAAAGGGGTCATCTTGCATCGGCGTCCTATTGCTCCATGCTGGAGTCCTATTATTTCAGATTTGAGGGAGGCCGATATCACATGGTACAAGGCAGTGGGCACATCAAAAAGAGGAATCCATCACATACCGTCACATACCTTGGAGCCTAAACACTTGCTGAGGAAGGAGACCAGCCTCCCACTGGCCCCTGCATCTTGCCCTGACCAAGGTCCTAGATAATGCTGCTACCACGCACTGAGCACGTAGCATGTGCTCATCCTGCATTCAGTGTCTTCCATTCATTATCTCATTTACTTTTATTATCAACACCATTGCGCTGGTGTTGTTGACCTTGTGTACAGCTGAGAAAACTGAGGATCAGGGATTTTAGGTAACTCTTTCCAGGTCCCCCAGCTGGTGATGGCAGAGCGAGGACTGAAACAGATTGGTTTACTATAAAACCTGAGCTCTTTCTTGAGCATGGAGGTTCCACTCGCTCAGATAAATCCCCTCACCTTGATCTGGGTATCAATTATCAAGCAGCTGCACCTGTGCTGAGGTTCCCTGTGATTAACCGTCTGCCAACCCTGAGGGCCAGGCTATACCCCAGCTGCTCTGTCTCCTGTTCAGCAGCATCATTGTGACCACAAGCTCAGTGATCATAGGACTTGTGGGATTCTGAAACTGCCCATCTAATTAAGTGACTCGGTTCCTGAAAACCTAACAAGGGAGACTATACTATATGACTGTAACCTCATATAATTTTCTGCTATAACAATAATTTTAATTCTTTGCATTTGTATTCAAATCTATATACCCTTCTGAGTGCTCCCACATGTATTAACTTTATTGATCCTCAGAACAGCCATGTAGATTGGACTCTCCCAGGGAGGATTGCTATTCTTATGACAAAATATCCAATAAGATATTCTCTTCTTATTTTCCCCTTCAGAACTTTGTAACCGTTGAGAACACTATAACTTGTTTTACACTATCTCTTTGAGAAAACAAGTCATCCTTTCCTTCACCCTCGGAGGAACAGGAAACCATATGAACCCAAATAATAAACACTAGGAAGCCATGACATCCCTAGACACGTGGAACACCTTTGGTATTCTCTCTGCTGACCTGGACACTGCTCACCTCTTCGCTGACAAGGAGACTGAGAGTTTTAAGAGCTTAGCAAGTTAGTGTAGCTAAGACCAGAATCAAGATCTCTTGACTCTGTCTTGTTCCCTTCCTGCCATTCTAGTCTCTCTTGATCAAGGCAAAGAGGACTCATTAGTAGTTCTCCCCACAATTGTGTGTGTGTGCTTGTGTGTGCGTGGTTGCGTTCGTGTGTGTGTGTGTTGCGGGTGAGTATGGTGCTAAGTATGTAAATGCCAGGCCAGCACTGAGGAGTGTAGAACTAGGAACCCAGAGAGGAGTCCAGTGTGGTGTTTCTCAAAGTAAATCTGTGGCTTGGTGGGGGAGGGAAAGAAAGAAGCACTCAGGATCTTTTCCATTTGTTCCGGAAGAGAAGCAAGGAAAAGAGTTCGGTAGGTATGAAAGACAGCTTGGTTGTGAGGTGAACAGGGCAAACCCTCACTAGGGGCTGATGAGTTTGCTAAGCAAGCTAGTGAACACCCCTCTCACCTGATTCCTTTCAGCCCAACCCTAGAGCTTCCCTGAGGGTGCCAGCAAGGCCACCTGCCCTGCCTTCCAAGCACATGGAGGAAAGTTACTGCTGAGGACCCACCTGGAAGGACCCCTATTGGCCTTGAACCTGGAGGACAGGCAAGAGCCTATTTGCTGGGCCCAGGACCTTGCCTCCTATGACAACTGGGACTTCTTGCCAGAGGGGACTACGCACTGCTGTTCCTGCTGCTCCTGCTGTTCCTGCTGCTGTCCTAGAAGATCTCTAACGCCAGCTCTGTGTGCAGACAGCCGAATGCCTGGGCTTCTGCGCTCACTGGGCTGGTTTCTAAATGGCTGGATAAGCCTGTGCTTTGCCTGACAAAGAACACTGGATCTAAGGTGGCTCTGCCTGGAGGGCTGTCAGCTGCCTGGCCTGACTTGAGTCATAGTGGGTGGTCTTCCTGCTGGGAACTGACTCAGGTCAGGATGGCAGACCTGTGACTTTGTTTACCCAGAGAGGGGAGAGGAGGTCCGGGATGATGCTGAGATCCTTGCTTTTGGGGTTCGATAGGCAGATTTGAAAAATACCGGTTACTTTTTTGACATTCTGTCCTGCTCCTTAACTCACTCTGTCCCTAAAGCACACATCATTGGCTTTCTTATTTTTCCATTGCTCATTTTTTTTTTGGTTGGACAAATGTTTATTTAGCACTTTAACGGGGCTGGGATTTGTAAACTCCTTTTCAGTTTCTATGATCCATGAATATCCATGTGATATAGGTACAAGGAACGTTGTTGTAAGGCTACAGGATGAAAGAGTTGGGAACCCGAGGCTTTCAGTGGTTTCTACCTATTTTTTCTTAGTTATTAAGAGCATTTCCCCTAAGAATGGCATGTTTGATCACCGGCAGAGTAGCAAACAGAGTATCATATGTGCTGAATATCAGAATGGTGGCCAGTTGCCAGGTATGATTGCTTTGGAGTAAAATCTCTTTTGTTCACAAAGATAGAAGGTATTAATTATGTTATACGTATCTGTTTATAAAGAGCCATCACCTGTTAAGAAGCTGGTGCTAAGATTTAACACAGTGTTTTTTTTACCTCTTTGGAATACCTTGTTCTAAAACCAGCCCCTTTTCTGTGTCCAACTTGGAATAGGCTCCAAATTTTCATTTGAATTAATATACATGATACCTGAGAAGCCCTTTTGTATTTTCAAAAGATTAGCATGTCTATCACCTAATTAGAGACTCACAGCAGGAAAGTGAACAGGGCAGCTATTATTATCTCTGTATTACAAAATTGAGGCTCAGTGAGGTTCAGCCACATGCCTAGAATTATATACCAAGTTGATGGTGGAGCCAGGTGAAGACCCAGGTTTCCTGGAGACAAAGCCCGTGGTATGTTTACCCTTGCAACTTCATCAAGACTTCTACAGCCATTTCTCAACAACTTGCCCCGGAAGTGGCAAACGAGAAATTTTTTTCAGAGCCATTCATAAAACTTTAAGCTCTTTTATTGATGTATAACTGGAAGAACAACTGTGCCAAGGGGCTGGGCTTTTTATGGGTGAGATTTTATTTGGAAGGAGATATGACTTCAGGTAGGGAGAAGAGTGGTTTTCTTTGTACTTAGGTTTTAAAGGAAACTGTTTTTATCTGTATTGTGCCAAAGTTGTATCATTGTTTAATGCCGCACTTCAGAAAACATAACCAGTCAAGTCTTAAGTCGAGGTATTTTCTCAATTTAATTGTATCTTCTGTTGCTTCTGTGATTGCATTCTAGCCAAAATAGAGCTTATATTACTAATGGTGCATCTTGGTTGCTTCCAACCTGTTTTTAGCAATGGAAGCCTTGGGAATCAAATCCTCATTGGGTCCTGTATTTATACATTCAGCTTGAAGATTTATATGTATATGATGATGCTTTTTTATGCTACTTAGAACATTTATTTATTTCTCAAGTGTATAAATGTGTAAAACAAATATATGGTTAGTTTTTACTTTAAAAATTAGCCAATTTCAAGATAAAACATTTTTAATAGAAAATAATAAAAATTTACAAAATTCTTAGTGGTCTGGCAACTCAATTCTTAAAATTTGAGAGCATTATGGCTGCCCAAGCCTAGGATTTGACAGAAAGTTACTTTAATATAAGCTATAGCCTTTATTTGGAACTAATTGTTGGTAGGAAGTGGATAACAACTCCTTTCAATAGAGAACAAGGAGAAAAATTATTTAAACTGCAGTAGAAATGTCTGAAGGTGGATGTTAGGAAGCACAGGGAGGGTGGCTGGACCTTGGGGAACATCAATGAGGATACAGGCTTGGTTGCATGTGACCTAGGTAACAGCGACTTAAACCAGACAGAAGATGATTTATCTATTGTTTTTAACTCCCAGCTAGTACTGAGGTTTGCTCCACAAAGCCAAAAGGGGTTTATGCCCTTCATTTCTGGTTGTGTCATCCATAGGATGTTCGCTTATTCCCTAGTCTGAAGTATCCCCTTTAGGTCCCCTTGTAGCCAGCCATGGGAAGGTAGAAAGGAATGATTGAGAAACTGCCCACATTCTTTTGGCCAGAAATCATAGTCACATGGAAAGTTGGGATATACTATCTTTATTCAGGGTGCACATGGGCCCAGCTAAAAATCCGATTACTGTTGATTGAAAAGAAGGGAAATGGCCTAACCACTGTACCGTATACTTGAAACTAATCTAAATAAATAAATAAATTTATTTATTTTTAAAAAGTACAGTATATGCTACATATAACATACAAAAAAAAGGGGGGGGGGAAATTGGATATTGCCATGTATTCTTCAGGAATTAATTTTAATTCCCTAGAGGCAGGGTGATAGACAAGGGGATCCTGTAAGTCATTCAATCTTGTAATCAAATTTTAGTAATCCTAAACTGATCTAGCACTATGAAGTTTGATGAATTACATCAATTTGACCTCATTTCTAGTCTTGAATGTTAAAGTGTTTTACAATGAGAAGAAACCTCTGTGTTAGGGGCTTTTGTGATGGTGGAAAGTGGCTGCTCTTTATTTCCGCCTGCTACGTTCTGCAATACTAGGCTTAATGAGGTTCGTAGGGGAGGAACTGGGTTAGACAGTGAGTGTTCTTAACCAGATTGTTGGTTCTTAACCTAATTCAGGTAGCAAGAAAAGGACTGAACTCTCTCTGGCAGGCATAAGGGACTTTTTGAAATTGTCCAAAGGTAGAGGTATAGTCTGGGTGACTCCATTGTGTCTCATCTGACTTGGGGATTCGGTGTCACCTCTTCACTAATAAGAGTCGGAAAATTCCATGGGACCTCCTTTGACTCTACAAACTGAAGTCCTGAACTCCTTGGAGGGATGGGAGCCAAGGAGGCACTAGAACAGCCGTGCTTACCCAGTGTGGTGTTTCTTAGTTACCATCTCTGTGTTCAGAGCTGCCCTGGCCTCTGCCATGTTAGCTCCCAGAGGGCAGAGATTTGTATCTGGCTTGTTTGCTGTTGCAGCCCTAGAATCTAGACTAGTGTCTGGAACATAGTAGGTGTTCAATAGATATTCAAATGAATGGATGAAGTTAGGTACAAGAAACCAGCTGCTTAAACAAGCAGTTAGGGGAACTGGGAAAAGAGTAATTAATTTAGTGTCGAAGTTCTAGTATGTTACTCAGTATTATGTGAGCTTTAGGCTAAATATAATCTTTTAAGCTTCTGTCTGCTCATCTGAGAGAGACAATACTTTGCAGAGTTGTTGGGACTATTAAATATATATAGTGAAAAAATCATTGTTTTGTAAACATTTGAATTAGAAAAAGATAAAGATAAATATAAAATTCTTTCTATATATATGGGGAAAACTTATATGTGACAAAGCTATTATATTAACCATTGGGAAAGGAATGGATGGTTAAGTAGATGGTTTTGGAAAGTAAGCTCATTAAAGGAGAAACATACTTTAGATTCTTATCTCACACCATATGCAAAGATTAATTCCAATTTAATGAATAATACAAATGTGAAAGAAAGCCATAAAGCTAATAGATATTATAAAATATATACAACAAGTCCCTGAATAACATCGTTTGGTCTAACACTATTTCATTATAACGTTGACAAGAAAGAAAAATCGCTTCCCGGAAGGGCACACTGTCTGTGTGGAGTTCGCACATTTTTTCTGTCTGCATGAGTTTTCTCCAAGGACTGGTCTCCTCCCACATTCCAAAGATGTGCACATGAGGTCAACTGGCATGTCTAAATTGTCCCAGCCTGAATGAGTGTGGGTGTGAGTCTCAGTGGCCCTGCGATGGAAGGGTGCACTATCCAGAGTGGGTCCCTCTTGGTGCCCTGAGCTGCCAGGAGAGGCTCCGGCCACCGTGACCCTGAACTGGGAAAAGCAGGTTGGAGAATAATGATCTGACTTGTGTTTATTAGTCTTTCTTAAATGTATATATAGCTCACATTTATTTCAATGTTTAATATTAGAAGGATTTGGGTCTTTATTTAGAAGTTTGGTAATGTTTTTATGACTGGAAATATGCCGTAGGAATTTAACTCTTATTTATATCAGTTAGCCTAAGGTAAAATTGGTTTCATCATATTCGTTTTGCTTAAAGTCAGTTTCCAAGAACCGAAGGATGACATTAAGTGAGGACTTACTGTGTTTGAAATCTGGATGAAACCTGAAAAATATAAATGTCACCATTGGAAAAATAAGAAATAGAAAATTAGAATAGATCAACGAATATTAAGGAAACTGAAATGCTAATAAAGGATTTTTCTTTACCCCATACATTAAAAAAACTTTCTAGTCATAGAGGTTTTACTGGGAAGTTCTATCAGTATCACAAGGAACGTTCCCCTGGTGCTTCCTTTCCTGGCCTCGTGAAACTGAAGTTATCACAACAATCAAGATAGTGAACATGTCACTCACCTCCAAGTTTTCTCGTGCCCCTTTGTAATCCTTCCTGTCGCCCTCTCTCCAGGCAATCACTGAACTGCTTTCTGACACTATAGATTAGTTGGCATTTTCTAGAATTGTATATAAGTGGAATGTATATACAGTATGTTCTCTATTTCGTTCAGAATATATATACGGTATGTTCTCTATGTATATACAGTATGTTCTCTATTTTTCTATTTCATAATTATTTTGAGATTGATCCATGTTTTTGTATGCATTAGTAGTTCATTCATTTTTATTGATGAGTAGTAGTCATTGTATGGATATGCCACCATTTGTTTATACAGGCACTTTGATGCACTTTGAGTTGTTTCCGGTTTGGGGCTATTACAAATAAAGCTGTTATGAACATGGGTGTACAAGTCTTTGCGTAGATATGTGCTTTCACTTTTCTTGGGTATATACCTGGGAGTGGAATGTCTAGATCATATGGTAGATGCATGTTTAACTTTTTAAGAAACTGCTAAATTGTTTTCCAAAAATCTTGTACCATTTTACATTCCCACCAACAACGTGTGAGAATTTCAGTTGCTCCACACCCTCGCTAGCAATGGTTATGGTCAATTTTTCAGTTTTAGTCTTTCTAACAGATATGTCAAGGTATCTCATTGTATTTTAATTTTTACTCACTTAATGACTGATGATCTTGAGCATATTTTTGTGTGCTGACTTGCCATGCACTTATTTTCTTTGGTAAAGTATCTTTTCCCCATTTTATGGGAGATTGTTTTTGTATTATGGAGTTTTGGCAGTTCTTTATGTATACTGGGTATAAATTATCAGACATAAGATTTGCGAATACTTTCTCCCAGTCTATGGTTTGTCTTTTCATTCTCCTAATAGTGTCTTTTGAATAGTGGATGTTTAAAATTTTAATTAAACACAATTTATCAACTTGTTCTTCTTGTATGAATGTCACTTTTAATATCATCTGTAAGTAAAATTTACCTAACTCGAGGTTACAAAAAATTTTTCTTATGTCTTATTTGGAAGTTTTATAATTTTAAGTTTTACATTTAAGTCTATAATTAATTTTGTTAAATTTTTTTACATAGTGTGAGGAATTGATCAAAGTTCTTTTTTTTTTTTTTTTTGCATACAGATATTTATTTTTCCTAGCACCATTGTTGAAAAGCTGATCTCTTCTCCATAGAATTGCCTTAGCACCTTTGTAAAAACTCAGTTTTCTGTATAGGTGTGGTTTTATTTCTAGACTCCTGTTTCATTCATCTATTTGTCTATTTTGATGTCTATACCACACTCTCTTGGTTACTTTATAATACATCTTGAAGTTGGGCACTGATGGTTTTCCAGCCTTAATTTTTTTCTGAAGTCATTTTACCTATTCCAGGTCATTTGCATTTTCATATAAATTTTAGAATCACTTTGTCAATTTCTACAAAAAGTCTTCTGAGATTTTGGTAGAGATTGCATTGAATGTATAGATCTGTTTGAGGAGAATTGATATCTTAATACTGACTTTTCCAACCCTTCTTCATTAGTTTTTAATTTGAATTAGAACACTTACACTATATTTGATATTTTACCACTTGACATTTACTGACAAAATAATTTCTTTGGGGAGCCATGGCTTGCTCTTTCTGATTATACATATATAAAAAATTGGATAAAACAGATTTAAGCAAATACACATTTATTTGCAATGACATCTTCATTTTTAAAAATGTAAAATTTGAACATTAAAAAAAAAAAATGCCAAGATACCACTTTAGATGATGTAGTAGACACATGGAAGGCCACCCAGATGCCTTCTTCAGGATGGAGACACTTATTCCCCAGTGGCTGGAAGCATTGGCAGTTGAGGGCTCTCCAGGAATTGCCCTCAGCCAACCAAGGAGCTCAAGGTCACAGATGAGAGGCAGTACACATCCACCTCCTTGCCTTTAGACCAGACAACTCTGAAGGGCCATAGCAGCTGCAGAGCTCCTGGTGGGATCCACCATGGCCTCTGTTGCATTGTAGTTCAACTCTTTCACTAGTCTGGCTGCCTTCACTCCCCTGCAGGTGTTGATGCTGAGAGCACTCCTCAGTAAAAGTCCTGCTTGCAAATCTCCATCTCAGAGTCTATCCGCCAGGGAATCCAATGAAGACAGATGATTATTTCTCAGTCAGCTTATGATTAATTCAAGGACTTAAAGGAGTGAAGATAGAGAACTCCAGATTGGCCCCTGAGGCTCACAGATTAGATGTAGGGTGAACAAAAAGCCAGTTATCATTGGCCTGCTGTGACTGTTTGCTTATGGCTAGAGGTACTTTCCCAGCTCTGAGTTGCTTTCTCTTTAACGCATGGAGCTCTTTGAAACCACCCTGAGATTGGAAGATGAGGGAAGTGCTTTCTCTTTCACCGTTTGAAATCACCCTGACTGTGGGAGGAAGAGAAAGCACTTGACAGTCTTCTGCCTCCTGGATGTGGCAGGGGCCTGGATGACACAGTGGGAGAGAGAGAGGGTGGAAGAGGAAGACTCTCCTACATGCCAAGAAACTGAACGGAGAGGCTCTCCCACAGGGAAGAGGGTATTACAGGGCTGGGAGTGCTCAGAAGAGAGAGGAGACTCGCATTATGACTTTCTCATCTCCCATCCCAAGGGGTGGGTGGGAGAAGTGTGAGATGGGAAGTAGGAGGACATAGTACTGTAAACTACCTTAAAATTAAACATTGTGATACTCAAATATAATTTTATTCACTTATTAATGCTAATGAAACCTGGTGTGGTCAGAACTGACAGGTGAGCAACCAGGATCCTAATGAATGGATTCCCTACTTGCTCCTTGCTACAGACTTCAGCTGACATTCATATTGTCCTACTCTGTCCCAATAATATGTGCCTTACGGACTTACCCCACGTTTTTTAAAAAGTTAGAATAGGGCCATTAAAAACAATCTTGGGCTAGCTCATGTAAGCCAGTTTACACAATAGGCACATTTTCGTATATTTAATTATATAATACTGACTAATTAATTGTAACATAAAGTCCTCTCACTTTTTCCCCTCATTGGACCTTTACAACTAAGTATTGTTATAGGCACAACAGAGGAGAAAACTTGCAGAGGAGAATACTCAAGTTCCAAGAGGTCAGTGGCTGTGACAGGGCCCCTCGGTTAGTATTTGACCTTGGACTTAAACTTGAGTCTACAGACACTAAAGCCTGTGTTCATTCCTTCCCTTAAAAGCACTTGAGGAAATGACTTTTCAGAAGACTCTCATAGTGAATTTGTTTGTCCTCTGCACAAATCTGGATGTTCTTCTATTATAAGGTGGAGGTTACCTGCTTTCTTTGAAGGAACACTCATTTCAAGGCTTTCTCCTAAGAAAATAAACAATAAAGAAATGTCTTTCTGGTACTCAGATAAGTGGGAGATTGGCAGGCACCAAAATTTCCAAACTCGCTCAGCTGACTTGTGGTCGGATACCAGAATTACGCACCTTCCTGAAGATGGCCTAGGGGACCAGTAGAACCACCTCTCATGGTGGGAGGGAATGCTATCGGAGGAGAGGAGTAGCTACAAGAACTGGACGTGCTATGGAGGAGGGAGCTGTGAGGTGAGGCCTGGACACTCTCTAGCTGTCACTCAGTGTTCTGGAAGTAATGGAGGACCCAGCCTGAAACCAGGCCCTTTCCAGTCCCATTTCATTTAATCCTCACTGCATTGCTATGAGGTGAGTTTTCCCTTCTTTTATTTCAAATGTGGAAACTGAGGCTGTACTTTAGTTCAGCTGTGCTTGTGGCCCAAGTGATAATGATACTCCAATCTAGTCCCAACTCCTGTTACTTAATAACTTTGCTAGTAGAGAAATCTTCAGAAAGAGAATGGCTGAGGCTAAACATTCTGCTAAACAGATTCATGCTAAGAATGTATGATGAAGAGTTATTTAATGTGTTGCATTTTAAGAGAGGAAGTCAATCACCTTAAGGAACAATTTGATGATTCCACATGTCATTGCGATAGCATCTTTATTTTTGTTTGATTTTGTTTTAGGTCGGTGGACTTTATGGATGCCGCTTAATTGACATTAATTAGATCCACGCATCTCTAACTTTAATGTACATAGGAACCACCTGCAGTTCATGTTAAACTTGACTGACTCAGCAGGTCTGGGGTGTTCTTACAAGCTTCCATGGGATGCTAACACTGCTAGTAAAGAACAATCCTTTGAGAAGAGGACCTGGGTGACCATCTCCCCACATTCAGCAATACTAATGCACTCAGGAAGGAGCAAAACTACTCTTTCTTGGAGTCCCCTTGACATTCTTCATCCCACCATTACAGCACTTAAGGCATTTGTATTGTAATTATTTGTTTAGAAGCCAGCTTCTCTACTACACTGAGAGTTCTTGCAAAGCAGCAACTGCTTCTTTTTCATCTCCATGTTCATCTTGGTTTCTACCTCTTAGCACTGTGCTTGGCACAAAGAAAGCACTTAATGTTGGATAATGAGCAGACATAGTCGGCCCCAAAGGTGGTGGGATGAGGTCATAAACTCTGAGAGCTCTTATAAGGCCCCTCTGTTCCTGCTTGGCTACATGGTATAAACCAGTGCTTTTCAATGTTGACTGTAGATTAGAGGAATTTAAAAAATACGGATGCCCAGGTACACTGTAGGTTCTGATTTAAATAAACCACTTTGTGTCTATGTATGGATGATTTTAAAAGTTTTCCAGGGGATTCTGATTTGTAGCCAGTTTTGAGAACCTCTGGTATAAGGTAACCTGCGGTATGTGCTCCAATGTTTGCTGTTGAGAAGGTGACGCTGTTCTCAGCTTCAGATGCATATTGAAATGGCCTGGGGAACTTTAAAAATGCTGATGCCTGGGTACCGTCCCCCCAGAAGAGTCTGATTTGACCATTCTGGGGTGCAGCTTGAATAAGCTCTCTGGAAATTCTAACAGGCAGCGAAAGTGGAGACAATGTTGACAATAGAAGTTTCTAAATGTTAAGATCAGAAAGAGTCCCAGGAAAGTTAAATGCCCTTTTCTGAACTCTGGAGGTTTTAGCTCAGGAGGCCTCTTTATTATTAATATGCTTCATGTTGATGCTGATGCAGGTGGTCTGGACCAAACTTTGAGAAACACAGCTTTGGAGGAGGCTTCTCAAAATTTAATGTGCATATATGTCACCTGGGACCTTGTTAAGATGCAGCTCTGGTTCTGCATTTCCAACCAGCTCTGATGATGGCAGGGATACTGGTCTGGGGACCCAGTTTGAGCCATAAGGATATAGGGCCATGGTTCTCAAAGTGGGTTAGGGTTAGTGTTAAGGTTAGGGTTCCAGAACATGTGAGAAATGGGATGGTAGCTAGATGGGCACATGAAGGCAAGGAAGCGGGGCTTTATTTTATTTTATTTTTTTTGACAAAGGAGACTTGAATGTGTTAAATGCAGGTAGAAAAAAGAACTAGCCCAGGGGGAGGGGCTAAAGACATGGGAGAGAGGGGATATTTAATGTGTCAGTAGGTTGTAAAATCCAGGTGTTGGGAGTCAGCTAGACAGGAGGAGATGATGGACACAACTTCTGCTGTGGCACAGAGAAGGAACAAAGGGTACAAACAAATATAGGAAGATCCAGTGACCAGGAAGGGGAAAGGGCAGCTTCTGATGGTTTCTATTTTCCTTTCCTTTCCTTTTTTTTTTTAAGTAGGAGAGGGCCTCATATTTAGGGCATGGGATAGTCCAAATCAGAGGTGATGTTGTAGGGTGATAGGGTTGGAGTCTCTGGGCAACTGCCTTCATCCTGGCATGTATCTGATGCGGCCTATGCTATAGCTACTATTTATCTCAAAAGATACTGGCCTCTAGCCCAGACTAATGAAATGATGCTCTCAGGCTACCAGCTCATGGTGGTAAAAATGTGGGCACACATGACTACAGGTATGGTTCTGCAGCCCCGGGCCAGTGTAGTAACCCATCAACCATCATATTCCTGGGACTCTCCCAACAATACTTGTCTTAATCCATTTGGGCTGCTATATCAAAATGCCAGAGACCAGATAGCTTATAAACAACAGAAATTTATTTCTTATAGGCTGGAAGTTCAAAATCTGGGTGCCAGCACGTTTGGGTGAGGGCCTTCTTCTGGGTTGCAGATGTCTCATTATATCCTCACATGATGGAAGGGGCTAGGGAGCTCTGTGGAATCTCTTTTATAAGGGCACTAACCCCATTCATAAGGGCTCCACTCTCATGACTTAATTATCTCCCAAAGGCCTCTTCTACTATTACTATCACCTTGGGGATTAGGCTCTAGCATATGAATTTTAGGCGACACACACATTCAAACCATAGCAATAACCTAAGCCTCTATCGCACTGTGTTGGCACCTTCAAAATAGTGGTTGTCACAGCCCACCATGGGTAATAATCACATGTGCCTATGTTTAATATCCTTCCTTGCAAGTTCCTGAAGAATAAGAAGTCTATGTTTTTGATCCTTGTGTCCCTGTTCAGAATTGCTCTCTATATGAAACTAATCATTTTTTGGCTAAAATCCACAGTTGTGATATGATATTTTGGCTCAGCCACCACTCAGAGATGGTCTTCAGAAAGCCTTCATCCCCTCCTGTGGCACTGGCCTGCTTCGTATAAGAGGGTTTTAACATGGTGATGCCCAGGAATTTATAACCCACCCCTACCCCATTCCCGACAGCCAGATCAGAGAGAATCCCAGATTTCAGCCCTTCACAGCTCAGCTGCCTCCCGACCAAAAGAGAGTTTCTGGGTGTTTGTAAAATCCCAAGTCCACAGCTTTCATTATCTGGCACACAATTCCCTGGTCTTCCCCCTCATTAATTCAGCATGGGGGAGTACTACAAAGAGATGGGCTGAATTCCAATCATGTCGTCCCTGGGGAAACAATAAGATGCCTGACTGGCTATTCAGGCTGTAATTGTTGCAGAGATAAAGACAGGCTGTGATCCTCTTCAGCGATGACCTTCTGAGAGGCATGGAGTACAGCCCAGGGACAGCTTGGTTTGCTCACGTCAGAAGCCAGGAAAACATTTCCGTCTTTGAAGCCTCCCCTGGCTCTGGTGTGGGGCAAGAGAGCGAGTGAGACAAGGTAGCAGATGGTGCTGCCAGGGCCCCACATCCACACACACTCCGCACCCCATGTCCCGTAGGCCCGTGTGGTCTGACTTAGCAGCTCTCCGGAGTGGGGGAGAGTCCAGCCAGTTTGCAATAAAAAAAAATCCATCCTTTACCTTAGGACAGCATGTGGCAGCTTCTAAGGCACCTGCTCATTTTAATCTCATTTGACCCTCAAAACTAACCTGTGAGGGGCTAGGACAAGTATTCTTATACCCATTTTATAGAAGAGAAAACTGAGACCCAAGTAGTGAAGGGTCTGTGAACCTTAAGTTGCAGAACCACTCAGGTCTTCTGATTCCTAGTTCACAGCTCTTTCCTGTGAAAGCTCACTGCTTCTCCTTTTTAGAGAGTGGTTATTGCATTGAAAGTTAGAAACATATTCCGAAGATGCTGTAATTTCTTCATTTCCTCAAATCCACTTGGCAGCAATGCATCAGAAAGGGTCTCCTCGACTTCAAGATGTAAGTAGCACTTCCTAGAGCAAGCTCTGACAAAGATGCAAAGCAATTTCTCACTGCCTGATCAGAACCGGAAGGTGAAAATGCTGCCTCGGATGCCTGGGCTGTGCTGCAGGGTGGCAGATGCAGGTGATCTGAGAATACATTCCACTGCAGAAGAAGGACCCAGGGCACAAAACCCCTCACTGTTCAAACAGATAATCGGAACTTCCTTCAGGATCACATTGAAATGGCAGATTTCAGTGTATATAATTTAGAAAATATGAAAACCACTTTATTGTTGCAGGGTACAATTAATTTAATCAACCAGTAAATATTTTAGGAGCAATACCTGTTTGTCTAGGCCAATGCTAAGCACAAGGAGAGAGGCAAATGCATAAGAAACATGAGCCCTATGCAAAGCTAAGGAGAACAGAGCCCTGTGATACATCCTCCTCTCTGCTTTCCTGCCTGAGACTTCAAGACCAAAGAGAAGAAAGAATAAAGTTCTTTTATAATCTCTGCTCTATCCACCAACTGAGACTCAAAATCGGCCTTCATGAATTAGCATCTTCATAATGCCAAGGGAAGACATAGTTTCCTTCAATGATTTTGCTGTAGACCAGGGAGAAGGATGCACAGGATGAACATTCAGGAGACTGCCTTTTCTCTCTATAGGTTGGGTCTGCTGTGGCCCTGGATTACCTTGAGAAGTTGGTTACAGCACAGAGTAGAACTAGAGGCTGTCCAGGCCAGAGCAGATTCTTTGAGCAGGTCCTTGAGAGAATGGTCCCAGGAAGTCTTAAGACCACCTCATGGACCTTTGGGTTACCTTCAGGGAAGGCCTGGACTGGTCTGGTCCAAAGTGCCACTTTCCGTTGGAGCCACATATATGACCTCACATGAATTTGACTATCTCATGACTGTGGTCATCCTGACTCCTCAATTGAATGGGAAATGAGGTGAGGGCAGGGAGTTAGGCAGCTGGTTTCCCAGAGCCACAACCTCCCATCTCTCAGCCCTTCAGTCTCCACAGAAGCCCTTCCTCCCTCTGAGGTGCTTAACATCCTTCCAGGCTCCTCCCGTCAAACCCAATTTCAAGAAAAGATCTAGAAATTAAGCAGGATCTGAGCCATCTGGAGCTCAGAATCCAGTCAAGAATGACTCCTTGACTTTCTAGGTGAGAAGACTGAGATTACTGCAGCACTTAAGGTGTGTCCCCCCTGCCTCTGCAACTCACACCTAGAGAGACCAGAACCATTTAGGCATCCGTGAGGAGGGAAGGTCATTTATGAGTTGTCAGATTCTTTCACTTACAGCCCTCATTTATGAAATTAACAGTGATGGCTCTGCTTCCGTTTAAGACATTTTGTGACCCAGTAGGGACAAGATTAATTTAGCACACAGTTGGCACCCACAAAGACCAGTGCCGAGAACAAATGAGTCTACATACACTCCAAGTCTATATACCTGTTGTGGACATGCTTGAACTTGCACTTGAACATTTATTCACAAGGTATTGGCCCGGGGTTAATAAGCAGAGCAACCACAGAGCTCTTTGCTCTTTTGCCACTTTTTTTCCCCCCAGTCACACCAGCGTCACCAGATGCTTTGAGGCTCCAATGCCAGGACAATCACTATTCACTCTGCTTGTCTCTCCCCAGGTAGGCAGTGTGTGGGAGCAGGAGCCTTCATCTATTGTCTCGCTCACACAAACTGGTTCAAAACACATCTATGGAGCACCTATTTTGTGCCAGGCACTGGGAGAGGTGCTAGGGACCCAAAGACTCACAGGCATAATTCCTGTGCTGCTTGCAGTCTAATAGGGAAAACACCTACGTGTCTCAGCAGGGATGCTGACAGGTCAGGGAAGCAGATGTCTACACGGACAATTTCAGTGAGATATGGAGAGTGAAAGGATAGAGATACATATAAAATCTGTCTTAACTCTTCTCTACCCTTGTTCCCCTTTTGCTTCATTTTATTATCTTTTGTTCTTTATAGCAAAGTTTTGGGCAACTATTATCTACACTAATTTTCAGCTCCACTGAAATGGCTCTACAATCGTCAGCAACCTCATGACTGACAATTTAACTGTCCCCGCTTCATCTCATAACTCCACATGTTATCTGGTCCCTTGGCTGTTTCTCCTTTCTTGGTCTCCCTGACCCTGCTTTCCTGTCTCTCGGGCCACTGGCTCCTTAAGGGTTCTGTTTCTGGCTCTCTCTTTTTCACGCTCTCCCCAGGGCCGCCTTCCCCACATCCAGCTTTCATTTCCACCTCCATGATGATTTTAACCTATTTGCCGAGTGCCTCCAACGTCTCATGCTAAGCATCTTACATATATTCTCTTTAGTCCTCCCCACTTTCATCAGACAGGACTCAGATTTCTTTCTTAAAACAGAGGAAAGCAACCCGCAGATAGCTTGTACATCAAGTCTTCCTCAATTTTCCACAACTAGTCAGAGGCAAAGCCAGAATTCAAACTCAGCTGGGCTCTTAAACACCTTTTCTAAGCCACCAGGTTATACCACTTCCAACATTGGGGTCTCTTCTCCTAATCTCTCTCCCTGACTCCAGACCCCTATGACCAACTTTTCATTTGTCAGGTCCACCCATGGACACCTCACACTTACTACGTCTAGAACAGAACTTGTCCTCTTACCCCTCAGACTGTTGCCCTCTCTTGGTTTCCTGTCTTGGTTCCCATGGGACCACCATGTACCCAGACTATCTGCTCCAGACGCTGGGTTGTCTCATCCCAGACTCCTCTCCCTCACTGCCTCCTTTCTCTCCCACCCTCCCTGCCTTTGTCTCACTCCTCAGCAGTTCTGATGTCTTTCTGTTCTCCCCTTCCAGTTCATCCCTCCAGTCCATCCCTCCTCCACACTGTGGCCCTCTCCTAAAACACAACTCTGACCACGTTACCCTCTTACTAAAATCCCTCCTGGTTGCCTAGTGCCCTCAAATCAACCTCCCAGCTCTTCAGCTTGGAAGATAAAGCCTTTTAGGATCCAGCCACCTCAGCTACTCATGGTCCCAGGTGTTAAACAAAAAGTTCTCACGTCCACAGCTGAAAGTCTTTTTGAAAGAAAGAGTTTATTAGGCCATTGCTAGCAAAAAAAGACCAGTCTTGGCGCATGGGGTCTAAACCACCAGCAAAAAGAAAAAAGAGGGAGAGAGAGAGAGAGAGAGAGAGAGAGAGAGAGAGAGAGAGAGAGAGAGAAATAAATAAATAAACCACCAGCAACTTGGCTAGGTAGGAAAGGCAACATGTCTATTGTCTCAGAGTTTGTAAGCATTTTGATACATCAAGTAGGGGGAAAGAGGAAAAAGACATGAGCGCTCTGAAAAAAATTTATATTAGCTATAGACAAAAGGGTGGGAGACAGTGAAGCATGGCCAGCTCTGAGATAGGCATAGTCTGCAAAAAAAAAAAAAGAAAAGAAAAAAAAGTCCACTCGTATGAATTGGCTGTGGGCTGCAGTCTGGAAAGTCCACGTGGAACAAGAAACAGAGGCTCTTGGTTCATTGGTGCCTGGCTAAAATAATCTGCAAAAATAGCCAACTGGAAATCAATCCCAAGGTCAAACAGCCACCACAAGAATGCGAGCAGTCTTTTGTTAGCTGGCCTGCAGCCATTAACAGATTAACAGTTCTGTCTCTTTTTCTCACTTTCAGGTTGCTATAATTTAATTTAGAACATCTCAGAATTTTCTCCTTGTCACAGGAAAGCCCCAAATGCTTTCCTACCACATGACTTTGTACATACTTTTCCCTCCACCTGTAACACTTATGAGATAAACCTCTACTCGTCCTTCATGTAGGATGTTCAACTGTCACCTTTTCCAGGAAGCCTTCCCCTATTCATCCCCCCACTCCTTCCAAGGCACATTTCTGCACCCCCTGCTCGATCTTCCAAGAGCATCCGATGCATCTCTCTGTTCACCACTGGTTGGTAACCGTTCACTTGACTGTATGCCCCTGCACCCCCAACTAGGCTGCACTTGCCTTCTTCCAGATGGGGCCTATTGGTCTTTGTGCAGTGCTTGGCAAAGAGTTTCTTTAATAGACTTTTATTGATCGGCTGATTGATTAGTTAATTAAGTATAAAACAAGGTCTCCTGTGAAGGAACTGCAGTTCAGATGGGGAGGAAGTCTAATCATGGGTGAGGTGATGGAAGATACTCGTAACAAGAACAAGCATGTTTTCCCGACCGCAAAAGGCTGTAGAAATTTGGAGGAGGAAGATGTTGAGAGAGCTGGAGGGGCTGCAGGAGCAGGAGTTTTCCTGGATGAGAAGAGGATTAATCAATGCACAAGCTTCGGCCATGGCTGCACCTATACCTGGTTGTTTTCCAGCAGCCCCAACATTTGAGCAAAGATTGGTGCCAATAAGCACCCAAGGTCCCTTCCACATCATTAGCATGTCTCTGGGCGAGGCCTGACTCTCACAGTCTGGAATGCAGACAAAGGGGATCTGTTCCAGTTATGCTAATTGCTGCCTCTCTCCCACAGAGGATGTGGCTGTGAGAGATGCTAGGAGGCAGCAGAACAGATGGGGGAATTCCTCAGCTCAAGAAGTCTGGCCTACACCCATGGAGGGGCCCCGCCAACCTTCCCCAGTGAAAGCTGGAGGCTGGGCAGTATGCATCTGCCCAGTAGGCTGTCTTTGAGAAATTATGATTTGAAGACCAGGCAGCTTCCTACCCAGGAACCCCAAAGCTTACAATTCCACTTTAGAAATAGTGCTTTCTTCTGGAAGCCAACTTTTAAATGCTAATGACCTTGGAAGAAATAACATGTTAAGTTCCTAACACCTTAGTGGCCTGGGGGCCTGGGAGGTCAGGTACCCTGAGCTATGGAGGGAACGCAGAGAGGACAGGAGGCCCTGGATCTCAAATCCATTACTGCCACAATTGTACCCCTATCCCATCCCCGACTGTTGCCCAGAAGCCCAGTTCTGAGCCGGCCGTTCCTTCCGCCACCATCCTGAGCTGAAGACCTGTTTATCGTCGAGAACACCCACCATCCCACTCCAATACCTCCTTCTTGAGGGCTTCCTACCTGCAAAACCAGAGAGCCCTTGAGGCCTTCAGCTCCCCTGTTGGAGTGCCAGCCCATGCTGGGGATGCTATGCATCCAGCAGTGGTTTTCATGCATCAGAATCACCGGGAGTGCTTGTTAAAACAGATCGCTGGGCCCCACTCCAGGGATTCAGTAAGTCTGAGGTGGAGCCTGAAAATGTGCGTCTCTAACAAATTTCCACTTCCTCCCTTCCATTCATTCCTGAACACACACTGCTTTCCAGCTTGTCCATCTACCACTGTCACCGCAGGACCAAATGCCCATTTGTAGAGCCAATGTACATTTTCTAGGCAGAATCGATTCTCTTGACTTGACTTTTTCTTCTCGGTGAAAAAACTCCCAACACTTCTCTTAAATTCTGACACCACTCGCGTTCCTGGTTTTCTTAGGTCTCCATCGTCTCCTTCTCACCAGCCCCCTCTCTTTTTTTTAACCTGCTCTGTTTCCGTGTCCTGAGTGCTTCCTCTCCTTCTCCCTCCGTTTATACTCTCACCCTCAGCTATTTCATCTAGTTACATCACATGAAGCCACCACCTCTCTCTGTTCGCAGCTAGACAGCTTTCTTGAGCTCCACTTAGCTGTGTCTAGACACCCAAGTGAGCATGTAAGGCCGGCTCTCCCCTTTCTCTCCCATCTCCTTTGCGGCAGCCAGTGGCATGTTTAGTAGCTCTGTTCTCAAGTCAGAAACAGTGTTGTGGGTAAAGTGTGGGATGACTGACGAGCCCATGAAAATTCCCCTTGAGCCCACATTTTCTCCCACCATCCTGGGAGAGCAGGTTTTGGAAGGAGTGAGGAGTTGGGGAGGCGGACAGAGACGTAGAGTGAGGCGTAAGACAGCGCATGTGGGAAATCCATCCCCGGGCAGTGGTTGACAATAGCAGTCCAGGTCTGAGCAAAGCGCCTTAGACAATGCCGGTGACCGCAGGATCTGCAATAAATCTCACGCCATAAATCTCAGCCCTTGTATCTAGTTTCCTCTTCTGTTAAAAAGGGGATAATTTGTGAGATTAAATATGATAATAAGGTATCATTGCCTGTTATTTGATGGTTGTCATATAAAGGAAATACGATACATGTCAGTTTTCCTGTTTCCCACTTCCTCCTTCCTTACTCTTTCTCAAGGGAGATGATGTTCCTTTGACTCAGTGCCAAGGTTAAGACAAGTAATCTTCCTTGCTTTGTGGGGCAGATGTTTTTCTTGTTCTACGTTCCAGTTGAATACAGTCCTTTGGGGACGCAGCCTAGTGTCCTATCCTACTACCTGGGCAGCCTTCGACTTTGTTTCCATAATCCCCAATTAACAACCTTTTCCACCAATTTTCATCAGCCATCAGGCCTGACTGGGTAAGTGAGAATGAATGCTTCAATTATATTGCCTCCTTGGCATAATAAATGGTAACTCATTTATTTCAGGAATTATTATTTTTTTTTTAGGAATTACTCACACCCAGGATAGCTCATGGGTGAGTAAGTCTTGACTGGTAAATTTGTAAGTTTTCAGCATAAGCCACATGGAGGCAATGCTCTTTCTTCTGTGACCTTATACTTATTTTAGGTAGAAAAAAACAAAACTGAAACAAACAGGCAGTCTCATCTGCCCAGCCGTTTTGCCCAGGAGTACCAGTCGAAGCCTGATTTTCAAAATCATTTTGCAGAAAAAGGCAGAACAGTTCAGGCAAACAGAAGCTCCAAGGAAAGTAAGATAATGGTTCAAGACTCTGGACTTGTCTTGAATGAGCCACTGGGTGATGGGTTTTCACATTGTCTCTGGCAGGTGAAGTTGGTTGGCAAATATATTCAACAGGAAGGAGAATAGATTCAAGTTTCCAACACCAAAGAAAATATTTGTAATGGTTGATTTTCTGAAAATAAACAACAAAGTGCTAGAAAAGTGGTTCTTTGGAATAATAGATGTCAACCAATCTAAGGTGATCGATCATCTCCTGTGGCTGAGTGAGCCAGCAAGGTGCTCGGCTGTGCAGACCCCTCTCTGGGAGCAGAGCTGGCTTGCCTATTCTGGGCTTAGAGGGCTGCCTGTGGCCTTAAACAGGAGCATCACTGATTTGCATGGAACCACACTCAAATCCAGCAACTCCAAACTCAGGGAAGGGAATGTGGCATGAGAATCCCAGAGGAGCTTGTTCACACACACACACACACACACACACACACACACACACACACACACTTTCTTACCACATGTGGGTCTGACTCTGCAGGAGTTCAGTGGGGCGTTTGGACCTTGTTCTTTTATTGCTCATCCTTCCCCCCATGGATGGTCCTGGAGACATCGGGGCTCAGAAAGAGAAAATGTACCCAGAGGGTGGGGCTTTCTCTGACCTGGACACCTGCCTTGTGGACTAACAGTTTTGACATCAGTACATGTCCATACAATAGGTTGTGTAAAATTCCTCTTGAAGGGAGGGGAGGACTTAGCTGAGAGCTGCATCAACCAGAGCCAGCCCATGGCAACTACTTTCTCTTTGGGGTCTGCTCTTTTCTCTGAGAAAGGCCTGGGTAATAAAGGAACAAACCTGACAAACTCTGCTCATTAGCGCCGATGACGGGGCTGCATACACTGAAGAAGAATGCAGAAAAGGGTGGTAGGGCTGCAGGGGAGGGTAGGTGCTGTACAAGTGTAGGTACTGGAAGGAAAGGCAGAATTTAGACGTGTAGATGAGGATGCGGAAGACCTTCCAGGAAGAAGAAATGAGAAAAAACTCGATGATTTGCAGCAAGCAGAGGGTGTTCTGGAGCAGTGGAGGGAGCTGGAGAAAATAAATGTTGGCTCTATGCTGCTTTGGTGGATGTGGCAGGCATAAGAGCCCACACTGGCCATTCCAAGCCTTGTCTGGGAATCGCTCCGGTAACCAAGAATGAGAAAGAGTGGCTTGCTGGGGCTGTACTCACTTCTTCCCATGCCCTACAAGCAGGCCCAGCTGGGCTGGAGTCCTCATCCAGACCACTGTTGTCTCGCTCCAGGCTCAGATGTAGCAAAAAAGGCTGGAAAGGCGAAGCTGTTCGATTTCCAGGGCTTTTTGAGTTAGCCAGGTGGAAGGCAGCCAGGGAAGCAGCAGCTGGTGACAGCCTGCCTGACTGCCTTAGATAGCAGGCAGCTACTTAGGGGAACAATTGGGCAGAAATGGGGGGTGGTAGGTCAGGGAACACGGGCCAGGGGAATTCTGAACAGGTCAGAGTCTAATTTGGTACAGTGCTTTATTGCCAATTTAAAGCTCGTCTTTCCTCCCAGGGTGGCTGCCACCCCTGCGGAAGAGGCCAGGGCTGCTGCAGGAGAAATTTGCATTTAAAGACTCCAAGTGCCTGGCACCCTGAGTGGTCATCCCAGAGCTGGGAAGTCATGCCGAATATTCTTCTATTTCGCCTGTATCTGGACACCTGCTTGCCTGTGGGATAAAATCCCCAAATTCTTCTTACTTCTTCCAGTGTGGAGGAGGATCCTGGAGTGCGTAGGGTGGGAGATGGTGAGGTCTGGAAGGTGGCGATCCTATGTTTTTGTTAACTGGGGCTGGAAAAAATCACAAGGGAATGGCAATCAATAGGGGACAGGGATATTAAAGAACTCAACTGGAACCTGGGAGGGAAAGTCATGTGGAACGTGACCCATGGAATGGGGCAAGAATCTGGGTTATGGTGAAGATCCAGAGGTGGGTTCTACAGAAGTGGTGGGTTGGCTTATTCCAGGCACATGATTCAGTTTGAAAGAGGGCTCCTCTTCGGGCGTCTCTCTTTGGGATAGTTGTTTCTCAGTCTTTGACTTCACGTGGAGAGCTTTAGGAAATATTAATGCCTGATCACCAAGACTCCAGAGATGCCACTGTTGCAAATCCACAGCTTCCTTTCCCATCTACCTCACCACCTCTGTGGCCATTGCCGCCCCCGAGGGAAAGGGATGGACAAGCTCCTCCTCTCGTCCTTGTACCACAGACCTCCTCGGGTTGGGCTCCTTGTGAGCCCTTCACCATTAAACCAACACACCTTAGTGGGCACCTGGGTGTGGGTGAAAACTTAGCCACACAACTTAAGGACTAGGCTGCTTTGGTGTTTGATTTCAGCTGTCCATAACTGTCCACGAGGAGAGGTAGCATATGGTACAATGTGTTCATGACATCAGGGTTCACTGGGACAATGACCTTTTTACAAGGAGATTTTTTTTTTGTCAGCAGCATTAAAGGTAAAGCCTGTCTCAATCCTTTGGCTGCTGGTTGGGCTGGGACATTAGGTGTGGGTTAACCAACACCCTGAGCCCAAGGGTTGTGCGTGCATACACACACACGCACGCACACATGCTGCCTGAGGCACATGAAGGTACATTCTGTGTATCCTGCAGCTAAGTGGATGGTCAAGTTGATGGCACTCAGGGAGCGCAGTGTGATTTTGCTATGGGCCTCAGGGGTTCCTCAGCTGGCAATGGGGAACTGAGGTCGATGTGACAAAGACCCTCTGTTATCTCTTTTAGTTTGACTGGAAGGAACAAAGAATGCTAGAGATCAATTATTCAAGAACATTCAGGTGCCTCCAGGCCTCCAGGTCATTCCAGGATCTGTTTCAAGACCCCCCGTAGATGCCTGAAACCTCAAAAAACACTAAACCCCATATATACTCTGTTTCTTCCTATACATACGCACCCGTGATAAAGTTTAACTTATAAATTAGGCACAGTAAGAGATTAACAATAAACTAATAATAAAAGAACAATTAAAACAATATACCATAGTAAAAGTTATGTGAATGGCTTTGGGGCCATTATTAAGTAAAATAAGGGTTACTTGAACTCAAGCATTGCGAGACTATGACAGTTGATCTGATAACTGAGATGGCTACTAAGTGAGTAACGGGCAAGAAGTGTCTATAGCGTGAGACACAGGACAAACGCATGACTCACATCCCAGGTGGGACAGAGCAGGATGCAAGAGATTTCATCATGGCTACTCAGAATGGCACGCAAGTTGAAACTTATAAATTGTTTATTTCTGGAGTTTTCCATTTAATATTTTCAGACTTTGGTTGATTTCAAGTAACTGAAACCTCAGAAAGCGAAACCACAGAGAAGGGGCAACTACTGTAAACAATGCTTTTGCATTGGCTGGCTGACTTTCGTAAGAGTGGATGGTCATTGAGAGCGGAGTATAACAGCTCAGACACCAGCAAGCTGGTGGAAGCCTTGTTAGACGATGGGGTGTGTCTTCTCGCCTGCCCCACACCTTCTCTGTAAACAGGATGGGTGGATCCGCCTTCCACCTCCCTGGGTGGAAGCAGCGTGAATCTTTGCCAAGCTGAGGAGCCAAAGTAAAGAAGGGCATAATTTCTGGAGGCTCTGTGTTTGCTGGGTCCTTCTAATGGGTTCTAGAAAGCTCCTGGGGAAACTTGATCTTCGTGCTCACACAGCTTAAGCATACTTTTCTTGCACGTCTAGGGACCACGGTGGTATCTTAGAGAAGCTGGGAAGACATGTGGGGTATGTCCGGGCTGGGTGGCCAGTGGCCTGGATTTAGTCTGGGTAAGTCTGAGTTTGCATTTTCTTCCGTGGAGATTTGTTTTTCCTTTTTCTTTTTCTTTTCCTGAGACCATGGGGCAGGGGAGACCCAGAAAGTAGCAAAAACCAGTAAGTCCCAGACACCAAAGCTATGGGCACGATCCCCAAGTGAAATGAGGCAGCCCTCTCTTTCCCAGTCAGTGGCTCATGTGGACGGTATGAGCCAGATCCCTTGGCCAGCCT